GTGTTGTATCATCAGCTAACTGGCTGATGATAATTTCTTTGCCTGCTACTGAGATACCTTTTAATGGGCTGAGCTTTATAGAATCTGTCAGTAACTGAGTGCAAAGTAAAAACAGATAAGGTGATATGGGGCATCCTTGTCTGACCCCACGTTTAAGGGAGAATCGAGGAGAAGTACCAGATTGTAATCTGATAGAGCAGTTTCCATTTGTATACATTGTTTTGATAGCATTGCTAAAGTATGAACCAAAACCAAATTTCTTTAAAGCATGAAATATGAATTTATGTTCGACTGTGTCGAAAGCTTTATAAAAATCTAAAAAAAAGAGATAAAACTATTATCAGAGTATAAATCGGAGTAATCAAGTAAATCAAGTACTAGTCTGATGTTGTTGGAAATGTGTCTGTTTCTCATGAAGCCGGATTGAGTCTCGTCAATTATGTTGTCCAAGACAATTTTTATTCTTTTAGCGAAAATCAGAGCAAATATTTTATAATCATTATTTAGTAAACAGATCGGACGCCAGTTATCAATGAAAAGTGTATCCTTAAGGTTATAAGGCCTTGAGTTAAAGTAGGGGGAAGACCTTTATTATCAACACATTCTGAAAAAAGTCCAAGAAGGAAAGGTGCTAGCTGTTTGGAGAATGCTYTATAAAATTCAGAAGTAAGACTGTCTGTCCCTGGGGATTTATTGGATTTGAGGTGTTCGATGGCAAATATAATTTCTTGTAATGTTAATGGTTTGTCGCACAATTCTTTCGATTCAGCATCAATTCTTTTAGTTTCTGTAAGAGAATCTAAAAATCGACAGATAGATTCTTCACTAACTTTGGATTCGTATAACTTGGTATAAAAGTCTGAGCAATATTTAGAAATTTTACGAGGGTCATCTGTGATATCTCCATGAATATTTAATTTTTGTATAGTATTATTTTTAGCGTGAAAATTTTCAAGTCGAAAGAAATAGGCCGAATTCTGCTCCCCTTCTTCTAACCATCTTCTCCTGCTTCTCACAAAAACCCCTTCAGCCTTTCGTCTATAAATGTCATCCAACTTATTTTGTAGATTGATTAAATTATGATTTTCGCTTTCAGTTACATTTTCTGGCTTTTTTTGTGTTACTGCACTGTCTGCTTTCGTGAAAAAGCTACTTGACACATTCCAGATGGGGGTGTGACCTAAACTGTGCTGTGAGTGAAGCTTTATGCATCTTTTTTTCTCAATGCTGGGGCTCAAGACAAAACTGGCAATAAACCCTCCTTCAGAATCTTTGTTTTATTTACAATGCAAACATAATACTCCTAAAAACCACAACACAATATTAAAAAAATAGATATTTAGTGTTTTGTACAACTCTTTGTTGTTTCTCAGTATCATTTTTAGTTTACTGTAGTCTGCAGAAAGTTTTGATGACAAATCATAAAAACTATATTTTACTTGTACTTCATCAATACAATAATTAGTTTAGCCTCTATCAACTGTGATGATTTTGAAGATCTGTAACTTAAATTCAAATTAGTTTCGACATGTGAGGTATGTTTGTTTGAGAAATATCAAAGGTTATGGCATTCCTCTAATGGGTGAGCAGATATAGTTTTTGATTTTGCAAAAAAATTAAATGGATTTATAAATAAACAGAATGCAAAAAGTCCATATTTTGTTTCACGTCGGACTACAAAACAGTGGGACCACTTCGACTGCGTGATGACGCCATTACGCCTAAGCCCGCTGGTCCAATGAGATCGTTGGTTGCTCTCTTAAAAGGACAATCACCCGTTGGCTGTGATTGGTTTGCGCCTTTGCGCACGTATTTCAAATAAATAGCAGAATCTGGCGGCGGCGGCGGATTTTTTGAGTTGTGGAGGTTTTAATTCTTCTACAGCAGCTGGCCGCCGAAACGTAGCTTCTTGGCTGGAAAAAGAGGGACACAAGAGGAAAATACTGATATCAAAGCACAAGGTAAGTGTGTTCTTGGTAGCCTTTTCCTGACTTTAAACTGGCACTTTTATGCAATAGTGACAAAGCATTTCCGTTCTGCAAGACTCGGCTAAGGCACAGGCCAGGGACTAAAACGTAAAACCCTCTCTGAAAAGAAGTCCACGTTTTTAGCTGGGTTGTTTTAACGCTGAGTTTATATGCAAGTGTTAGCAAAAACCTATAGTTAATTGTTTAAAAGCGGCAGAGTGATGTGTTCAGTGCATAAAGCTGCGTAATCACTTCATGCATCCCATCTCTGCAGGGTAATTGTACAAAAATGTTCCTGTGTAAATGAATGTAGGTGTACCCTTAACCTAAAGCATGTTTTATCATTAAAATCTGCTTTTAAATATGCTTAACTAGTACACTAACTAACCTCGATGACGCTATCTTTCCGCCAAATCCGCATCGCGCCAAAACTATTAACTATTTCTTGAAACATTTACGTAAGAATTTCAGAGTTCTGCCTGTATGTCAGGTTGATTTTATCATGAACCCAGTTTAACTTTTTAATGTCAGTAAGGTTAGTATAGCTAATTTAACACACTAGAAAGAAGTACTTCCTTGACATGCTTCAGTCACTTCCACAATAAAAAAAAAACTTATGATCCCTGTTCTGTGTTCTTTTGCAGAATCTCACGTGCTGCTATAGGAGTTTTATTGTGAAACAAGTTACCATGAAATGCTCTGTTCTCAACGCTACAAAGAGGGACAACACCATGAAGAAAGTTTCTGGTGCTCCAGACGACTCTATCATTCGTCTCAAAATGTCTCCAGTGAAAGACAACAGCCCTACCAAACCTCAGAGTTCATCCAAAGAAATTTCAAAGGTGTTCTCAGCCAAGAACAACAAAGAAAGCAACAACAGCAGAGATCCTGTGATCCTGGATAACTGCTTTGAGGACAGTGGCTATTTATCTTTGCACAACAGTCACATCGACCCTAACGTAGAAGGAGAGAATAATCGCACACCAGGAAAACTGACCACAGTGCATCAAGAAAAGACTATTTCATCAAAGAAATCTTCTAAAAGTCAAGGAAAAGCTAAAGTTAGTCGTCCACTGTTTCTGGAAGCTGCCACTACTCCTGTGGTTCGTCTTAAACCAAAGACGACCAGAGCATTATCATCCACCCCCTCCAACAATTGCAGCCCCTCCAATCTACCCATCTTGAAGTTTCAGCAGGATGTGTGTGAAGCTCTTTCTAGGAGCTTCAAAAAGAATAAGAAGTAAGATTTTATTTTATTGTACAGTACTTTCCTTTTGGCATGAATGATTTTGTATATGCATTTTTACTAAAAATGTCTTGTCCCTTTTTTTTTTTTAGGTATGACTTCAGCATTATTAAAGACGTTGCAGATAAGCATAATTTGGATCGTGTGATTGGACGCCAAATGGGCTTGGAGTATGTTGACGTGTTTTCATCTTTGCTGTCCATGAATATGAGGATCATTTTAGGCAACATCCTGGCTCTGCTAGGAGATCTGGACCTCATTAGGTAAATTTAAAAAAAAATCATTCACTGTTTCCAAGTTTATACCATCTCCTTGCTTTTATGTTTGGCAACATGAGTAACTCTGATGTCTTAGCTCAATATATGAAAGACTGGTGAACTTTTGTTTTCTGTTAGCTCTGCTGGCCATCTTGTATTTGGTTATATTGAGCAAGCATTTAATGTGCTTTTAATATTATACCCCATTTCTCAGCATAAAGATGATCCTAGTCCAGAGGAGCCCAAAGTGGGGCCCGCGGGCCATATTTGGCCCGCCAAGCCATTTGATTTGGCCCACCAACAGTTGCCAAAGTTACAAGGTGTAACCTATTATCCTATGTATATGCACAGTATTTCCGTTGGTCAAATGACTATATAAAAGGGCTGTATAAAGGCCCTTTTATATAAAAGGTAGTGAAGGTAGTTTTCATTCATTGTGCTGACTTTGTCTTTGATTTTTTTAGGATTAAACGTGAAACATGAAATGACAAGAAATATTTTGTTCAGATTTAACCACACATGTAGATTTGCACACTTTATAAGACCACAAAAACTCATTTTATCAATTTATGAAATGTCCCATGAGCCTTTGCTACTTGAGCGCATGGCAGACTTTCTCCAAGTGCTCAGACTAAAACAAAAGAGGGCCATTGCACAGCTTAATCGTTAAAAATAAGGGACTTTACTTTAAAAAGTATTTGTATTTCATGTATTATATTACTGTATTTGGCCCGCTGCCCTGGATAGATTTTCATTTTGGCCCCCTCGGGGAAAACGTTTGGGCACCCCTGTCCTAGTCTATAACAGATATGAAGTTGGTGAGTGATGCACATTGTTTGTACTGAATGTTATTAACCAGATTTTCTTTGTTTTTGGCAGCTGTAAAAAAGTGAGCAAAACATGGAAAAAAATCATCTGCGAACAGAAAGAAGCCTTCAGCAGGTGTCAGCAAGCTGAGGAGAAACTTATGGTGAGAAAACAACTAAAATGCACACAAACCCACATGCTCGTCACATGTGTTCATCACGTTACCTTTTTAACCTTCCAGGAGTCTAGCAGCGCTCTGACGCAGCTCACTTGTGGTCTGACACGAGACGTCTCCGAGTCCCGGGTGGTGCTGTCCTGCATGCAGGCCGTGGCCTCGTCAAGCGCTCCGTCCTCCTCCGATCAAAGCTGCAGAGCCGTGAGACGCACGGCTGCCTCCCTAAAGAGCAGCACGCCAGTACCTCAGTGTTCTCGCCACAATGAGTTTGTGCAGGTGAATGTTTGTGTCTTACCAATTTGTTTGATTCTCAGGAAGGGGTTCGATTTCTGTGATTTGTTTTTTATTGCCCCCCTTTTTAACAAGTCTGTTTATGTTTTTTGTTTTTCTGTCCAGACCGCCAGCCGTCTGAAACGGCACCAGTGTCAGTATAAATGCAGGCGCTGTGGCTCACCAGCGACCGACATGCACGAAGAGCAGAGGGCAACGTGCACTCGCTCTAGCTGTCTTTTCGACTTCTGCACGCACTGTCAGGAAACGTTTCACGGCTCGACCCCGTGCCGAACGGTGCAGCCCAAATCGCACTTTACCGCCAACACGGAGTCCTCAACTCCTTCGGGTAGCGCTCGCAGCAAAAGAAGCCTGAAGCGCTTGTGAGAACGGATCATTTCGAGCTTTACTCAGACTTTTTTGGTTGTTGTTTTTAACCGAAGGCTGTGTCTTTTCCAGCACCTCAAACTGAACTTTGCACAACGTTTCAGTTGCTCATTCTGGAAATTTTAATGCTTGGCATTCAGCCTTCAATTGTAAAAATTTAATGTTTTCTTTTAAAAAGGATATTTGTGTAAATCTACTTTTAAATACATTTTATAGACATTTTTTTAAAATAAACATTGTTCTTATGTGGTCTTGTTGAGGTTTATTGTCTTTATATGATTTGAACCTGTAAATAGACTGTTTCATAACTGATCTTGTGTCCTTGTGGTTTTTCATCTCAGTTGATTCAAAACAAGTTCAGTACACCAGGGGGCAGCATTGATTCTGACACTCCTGTAGTATTCTTTTTTTCTTGTAAGGAAAATATCCTGCAACAGGTAAAAAGTTAGGAAATGTCCCTTAACAAGTCATTTTACCTGACAATACACAAAAAAGATCTGACTCGAGTTTCACATCGTTGCAACATCATCATCATCGAGTAAAGATAAAAACAGTCGAGTACATTTTCCTGCTGGGTTTGTATGAGGAAAAAGCTTATTTGGCAACTAGTTGTATCAAGTTTGTGTTATCTTTAAATTGGCTTTAAAATGACCAGTTTTCCCTTTTTCTTGCTGGTGTGAGTGCCTGTTTTTCCTGTTGAAACAGCTGATCTGGTCCAAATTTAAAAGGAGTTTATTGCAGGATTTCTTTTTTCAAAACACAAAAAAAAAAAAAAAAATTCGTAGGATCAAATTTGGTCACTGACTTTCAGTTTAATTCGATAAATACAAGTTATCGCTATTAAAATAGTTTAGTACATTGTCCCTAAATCTCATCTTTGCTAATTTGCAATTTATTGTAGGCTACATGTTCTCAGAATTTTTAGTTTTATTCTTTAAATCCTGAAGTTTTGATATTTTAAGCTCATTTTAGGCAGATGCAGTGTATTCACCGAGTAAATCTACAAAACCTACTCTGATTTGTTTATCTTCAAAGCTTCAATGTTTAAAAGTTTCACAAAAAATAGTTATTAAATACTGGCACATATCTATTTTTTAATATATTAGCATCAAAGCTACATTTCAGTTATATTTATTTTATTAGATGTCATTCTGAACATAAGATTTTAATGTACTTTGTTTTATCAGGGATAAGAGAAGTGCTTTCTTACTACTAGAGTCTGAAGCCAAAGTATAGGACTGATAGTTGCTAAGAACGGCCATTTAATGGGTTGATCACATTGAAAGCAGGTGTCAAATATTTGGGTAGTGTTTGCCTGAAAACATCGTTATGTTCCCATCTGTCCTGCAGCTTTGGGGAAAATCCATCCATCCATTATCTATACCTGTTTCTTCCTCTCAGGGTCACTGGTGCCCATATCCAGCAGTCACAGTGCGAGGGGTGGGGTACACCCTGGACAGGTTGCAAGTCCATCATAAGGTTTGGGAATAAATGCCTCTTAAAAAAAGAAAACAAAAAAAAATCCTCCAAGGATATCTGCAATTTCCCTTCAGAGGTTTTTGCTTTAACCAGCCGTCACTCAGAAGAGCTTTAACTCCACAAATAGCATCGCTGACACTGGATGGGTACCTCTGACATTTACAGGACGACCCATTTTGTCTCTCATCTGAGCCTTTCGAAGCGGAGTTGTCGCACATTTGTTTTGTTGTGATGACGAATGCACACATCAGTCAGTTCTCCTGCAGGGAAATGGCTGACACTTGACGGGGACGTCCTGTGGCAGGGAGAACCCTGAGGTCAGAAACCACTCACTGCAGGTGGATTTGAAACATCCATTAGCATTTCAGTCTGTTTAGTTATTTATTCACAGTTTATTTCAGCTGTTTTCACAATGTCCAAACTAATAACATAAGCGAGTGTTGAATAAAAATAATTTCAAACATCCCTCACTTGTTTACAGGATCCAGCAGTCAGAGATTTTCAGTAAATGCTCAATTGTTTATCAGTAAACGTTACGGGATTTCAAAAAAAAAAAAAATGCAACATTTAGATTTTTTAATTCATTTATTTACTTGGCTTTGCTGTATTTGAAATGAGTTTTAATCCAGAAAAGACAGCTGATTTCTGGAATATTACTGGAATGTTTTAAAAGATTTGATTTAAAAAAAGGGTCACAGTCGTAGTTCTAGTTGTAAAAATGACTTGAGTTAAGTTTAAAATTTGTGCAAAATAGTGTGTTCTAAACCCTTAATTGCTGTATTTGGTTGCATTTCTTGTACAACTAAGTATTTGTGTTTTTTTTTTTTGAAAAAGTATGTGTTAAAATGAACATCAGCCCCCCCAAGTAACTAAATATAAAACTACTAATGAGTCTAGAAAGTAACCAAACCTGAGGAGCCACAGGTGTGTTAATAGAATAGAGCACAATGAACCCAAGAAAATGTCATGGTGATGGTATAAATGGATGATGCTGTAAAGCATCAGAGCTGCTGATGGAGCTGCTGATTAATCTGTACTGTGGCCTTTCGCTCCCTCTGCGACTCCGGATCATTTATCTGGCAGATTTATTGATCGGCTCCTGCACAGAGACACATCCCTGACACAATCAGGGCCCATACTTGTTGTAAAAGTCATTAGAGTGGGCTGTCACACGTGTGGAGGTGTGTGTGTCTGATAATAAAAACACACACACACTCAAAGCCAGTCACCAGGAACAGCCTGTATGTTTGGAAATGAAGATAAGACGTGCAATATGCTGAGAAATCCATACATTTGTTTTCCTATTATCCGTTCATCCAGTGTGTTGCTATTTTTTGCCCTTTAATTTCCCCCCCCCCCCCCCCCCCGGAAGTTCAACATGTTTCTGCTGTTAGCTCATTTCTGCCTCAGGCCTGAGGAAGTGAAGGGGGTTGATGCGTGACAAGGCAACATGCAGACCATGTGAGCTGCGTCTTATTTTCTATTAAATTATTTTTAAAAAATGTTTCCGGGTTGATGATCCTGATGCGCAGTGACTTCTGCAGGTCAATTGGCTGTTTGTCACCAAAGCGGAACTGTAAAAAGTCCAGAAATGAGGCTGTCGCTCGGACTGCCTTCAGCAAAGCATGAATGGAACAGGAAATGATTCAAAAGCAAAGGAAAACATGAGATCACAGCTGTGGTGTGAGAGGGACATGGCACACGGTCTTAAGAGTAAGGGTGTACATCACCATCATCGCCATCATCAATTAAATTTAAAGGTGGGCACATGATATATAGCCACGTCAGGCATATATAGAATAGAATAGAATAGAATAGAATAGAATAGAATAGAATAGAATAGAAACAGTCTTTATTTTCCCACACAGGGAAATTCAGGTGTAGTAGCAGCAGCAGGTACATACATGCGTCAATCCACAAAATAGTATGTTGTTATGTGACAATATCAATTGTAGCAAAAATTGTAGAATTAAAAGTAGTAACAATAAAAATACACATAGATCAAAGAAAAAATGAGAATAACTAGACATGGGTTTTTACGATGTAAAAACAAGTGTGTACTGCCATGTAGCATGTCATTGCAGTATGACTTTGCCTGCAGCATTGGACTTGCAGAATGAACTTTGATCAAGTTCAAATGTGTTTTCTATACCAGATTGTGCCTGTCACAAGATGTTCAGAATTGAGGTAAGTGTGCGACAATATGAAATTTGAAGAGATTTATTCTTAAAGTTGCATTTGTCAGGTTTTGAACCCTGATCTCCCACATGAAAGTCCATGACATAGACCATCAGACCAATGGAGTTGTGGCAGAAGGTGGTGGCAGGGCTTGGTTTGTATGTGTGCAGAAAGAGGCTACATTGCCAATACAATTATTGACACTAAACTGCATAATATTACAACAATAGAGCAGAATTAAGACAACATTATAGTAAAACATCAAAATACAATCATATTAGTATTGTAAACACTGAACTATTGAGATTAAATATCAAAAAACTATGGTACAGTACCAAGTTGAGTACAGCTGGGGGCAGTATTGGACCATCACAAGGCCCCATTGACTCACATTATATGAATTTGGAATAACGTTTAAACATTAATATTTCAAAAACGGTTCAAATCCCGGTCCGGGGACCTTTCTGGGTAGAGTTTGCATGTTCTCTCCATGCATGCGTGGGTTCTCTCCGGGCACTCCGGCTTCCTCCCACAGACCAAAAACATGACTGTTAGGTTAATTGATAACTCTAAATTGTCCCTAGGTGTGAGTGAGTGAATGGTTGTTTGTCTCGTTTGTCTCTATGTGTGGCCCTGTGATGGACTTGCGACCTGTCCATGGTGTACCCCGCCCCTCGCACTGTGACTGCTGGATATGGGCACCAGTGACCCATGCAACCCTGAAAAGGAAGAAGTGTGTACAGAAAATGAATGGATGGATGGATTTCAAAAACTACAAGTGGTACAGGCAGCAAAAGGCAGTCATTTGGCACAGGACATTTACAGATAGAAATTACAATGGGAGCTGTAGGACAATGTATGCAGGAGCATTGGACTTTCAGAATGAACTTTGACCAAGTTCAAATGTGTTTACTATACCAGCTTGTGCCTGTCACATCAGCAGGTGTTTGTAATTACGTTAATTGTGTGACAATATGAAGTTTGCAGAGATTTTTGTTAAAGTAGCAGTAGCTGGATTTGAACCCTGATCTCCCGCATGAAAGCCCACAGTGCTCATCATGAGACTATTGGAGATATGGCGAAGGACAATCCCAGGGATTGGATTGTATGTATACAGAAAAAGTTTACCTTGCCAATGCAATTATTGACACTTAAGTGCAATATATTACAGCAATAGGACAACATAAAGACAGTATTACAGTAAAACATTAAAATACAATCATATTAATATTGTAAGCACTAAAGTACTGAGTTTAAATATTATGAATCTGTGGTGCAGTACCATATTGTGCAGAGGCAGCAGTGGGCAGTATTGGACCAATACAAGCCCCCCCGACTGTCATTATGATTTATTAAACATTAATATTTCAAAAAATATAAGTTTTACAGGCACCAAAAGGCATAGCCACTATTTGGCACAGGAGCTTTACAGATATAAATTACAATGGCAGCTCTAGGACAAAGTATGCAGGAGGTGAAGCATGGCAAAGTTGAGATGACTTGGATGGGAAACAAATCACAATAGTGTGCATTGCATTGGCAATGCACACTGATTATTATTATTATTGGTTATTGGTTATTATTTGTGTAAAGATTGCGAGGTAGAGTTGTTTGATGTGCTTATCATAATTGTTGAGAGCGGTCTTGGTTATCGGGTCTAACAGCTGATGGGAGAAATGATCTGCGGTAACGCTCTTTTGTACACTTCGGATGCAGCAGTCTGTCACTGAAGGAGCTCTGCAGATCAGCTACAGTTACATGCAATGGGTGGGAGGAGTTTTCTGTTACTGGTGTTATTTTACCTAGAGTTGATGATGTCATAATGATGACATGGTTCACTTTGCCTTGATGTAACTGAATCAATCAATAAATCAATGTGGATCAATGAATTGTTACACCAGGACACATGCAAAATCCACTTTTTTAGCTGTTAAATACGTATTGTTGTGTACTTGGAGTCTACTGCAGAACACTTGTATTTAGTTTCTCTCAGTGCTGCGTAGATATCTCTATATTCTGTTTGAGTCATATTTTTCAACCCCTTCAGTTTTTGTCTGTTGTCTACGACATTTTCTGAACTATTACATCAAAATATTTGCCGTGGAACTGCCAAATAAGGTTGAGACTTGACCACCTACAATTTTGTTGGAAGAAAAGGTGATTAGTTCTGACCAGATTGATGAGTTAAAGACAATATCTTATTGGGCCGTTATGTTGGAAACTATAGTTGGCGACTGAAAATTGTGACAAAAACAGAACTTTCCTTTGCAGAACCAGTAAGACAAAAGACAAAATGTATTCTAGGCCGTGCATATTATTTTGCTGCCTGTCTCTGCCCATATGTATCTGAATTTAAAGTCACAGTTTGGATAAATCTCAACAAGACTCTTAAATTGGCTTTTTTAGATTAGAATAAAAAGACAAAGACAGAATGAATGAAGTCACTGAAGGATGTCAGATTCTGCTACAATGCAGTGGCCAATCAAGCCCTTTTAGCTCACTGGACATATATGTATTTGTTTTCCAGCTGACCTATAACATCAGCAACCACAACTACAGACAAACAATTTATCTAGTAAGTGATGTGAAGTGATGCACTGGATGATATTAAAACTACATTTTTTTCCTAGCCACGCTTTATTTCTTCTGCTGTGCCCAGAAAATTCCTGCTGTGAATAAAAAAACACTGAACCGCCATCCAGATATGATAGAAAATGGTTTTAAACTTTGTTAAAAGCCTTAATTCAGGATGATGTAAACAAACCAAACTTAAAATAAATAAATCAATAAATAAATAAGTTTTTTAGGTAAGTCGTCAGCATCTTTCACATAAGACGCTTCAGACTTATTTTTGAGCAATGAATGGATGCTTAAACATACTAATAACACTAATAAAAAAAGGTGTTATGAGGTAATGAGTGAGTTTGCCAATTCATAAATGTCTTTTTTCAAAAAGTTATGGATTTTGTCGACTGTGAAGAAACAAGACGTAAATACACACACGCACTGTTTGGTTTTAAAAGGCTGCAGTCCTTTTTCCCCCTCTGTCTATTTTTACTCTGTTTGGTCCATTAAGATCAGCGGTGATGGTAGTTAATGAGTGAAGCCTCTCAACAAAGTAGCCAGTAATCACAAAGGTACAACAGAGTGTACACACACACACACACACACACACNCACACACACACACACACACACACACACACACACACACACACACACACACACACACACGTAACAACATAAATGTGCAGGCCATTGACTTTATTCATGCAAAACAGAAAAAAAGGTTAATGCACACTTTGTATTTGAAGAAAATTGTGTTTTCGTTATGGATTTTTTTATTTTTAAAGACAAAATGTGCAGCACTTTTTGTGTAATTCTTGTTTGTGTGTGTGTTTTCTTTAAAGTGCTTTAAATAAAATGGACATTTTCGCAACAAAAACATAAAAGATTCAGTTTTGCTCACCTTCCGGTAACAGAATACGTGTTTGTGTTTTAAAGTTTTGTTTGCATGTGCTGGGTTCATTTAAAAGTAATATTAACATTTAGTTTTAGAACGTATGAATGAAATATGTTTAAATGAAACATTCCAAAAAAGGTGAGATGAAAGAGGAAATTCTTTTCTTTTTTGGTAAACATGACACTTTCTTTGATCTGAGATACAAAAACAACAACAACAACAGAAAAAAGCAACTAAAATAGATCATTTTTTAAATATTTTAGCTAAAATTGAATGTGTTCACAGTTGTTTTTTTTTTTTTTCTTTTTTGTTAGGGACTTCTGAGGAGAACAACTGGTGTTGCCTTGCAGTAATATGGTCCCAGGTTAAAAACAACCTTTAATGAACTCGCAACCCGTCCAGGTTGTAACCCTGTATCTCTCATAATACTGTATGTGCTGGAGGTGAGTACCAGCTCCTTCACAAACCTGCACAGAAATGTATTATTTTCTTATTTTTGTAATTGTATAGTTGTTACAATTCTGTAGATATAAAAAACCTACACAAATTAGACCATCAAATTAAGAAAAGTGTGCAAACCCTAAAATAGTTTAAATGACATCCTCCCTCCCATAATAGCAAGTACACATTCATATTTGTAATCCTGATATTTTGTATCTACAGGAGTTAACAAGCTTGATTAGCACAAAGAGCATGAGTTACATTTTTTATTGTTAAAAGTTTCTTAAAAATGGTACAGAAGTTGGTAATTGACAAAAGACTGGTGTATTTTTAATGTTATAAATGTGTTTATTCCTATAAATCTCTCAGATATATTTACAAAATATTCAGAATTATAAATGTTACTGAGATTAACATGAAAAATATTTTATGATTAATATCAGTTTCCTGCTATAACAAACAAACAAACATCTGTCCTCCTTGTTCCTATGAGGGCTGGAGCCTTTCTCATGTCTTCAGTACATCAGGGACACATGGACAGGTCTCCAAGTCCATTACAGGAAGTGGGCGTGTCGATCTAAATACCAGTAATATCAATACCAAGATATCAGTATTGGATTGATACTAGCTGCATTATTTAGAGTCATTTAGAGTCACTAGTTTTCTTCGTTGTGCCAGTGTGAATGGAAGTTATTTTTGTTGTGTTATTGACATTTGTTACATTTATATGTATTTTTATATTGTTGCATCTTCTTTCATCATTTTGTACATTGTTTGATTTTGTTGTAGTTAGTTAATACAAAACATTTTTATTTGCCCAAAATCTATGTTCTGTTTTATCAGAATCGTCTAACTAAAAGGCAAAACCCCACAAAATTATTCAATGAGCATGACAAGGTATTGATGATACTAGTCTCATATGTACTTGGCATCAGATTGATTCCAAAACTCCTACTAATCGCCCACTGCTAATTCTTATAACCAAACACACAAGATTTGGCTCGCTCACAGAAAACCCAGGTAAAAAGTCAGAGCTCAAAGCGAAAACGTTTATTAAAATAGAAAAGTACTGCTGTGGCAGCTTTAAAAAACTTACTTTCATATGAGAAGCACAGAAAGCCAACCCAAACGGACTGGTGACAACACACTACAACACAATGAACCAACAGCGGAGTGAAGAAAAGACATGAAACATAAAGGAGTGCTAACGAGGACATCATTGGAAACACCTGGTAAGACACACGAGGATCGGGTGTTTACCTCACTTTGGAACAGGATTAATCTCTTCAAAGGGTGCAGATTCAATTTTTTTCAAGGTCTTCACATTTGTTCTTTACACCAATCAACATCCTAGTTTGCATTTTGTCCGACGTGAGCTCAGACAATCAGAATCCTGCTCCAGACATTAAAAAAGTGTAGTGTTAACAAATACATAAACACACCTGCTTCTATTCATCCTGATCTTTATTGAGCTGATTTGTAGTTTGTTTGGTTATTTTTGATCTTCTCAGCAGGTGAACAAAACTTCCATTTTTACTTCATACAGTTCAGCTTTAATTTATTTATTTTTAACATGGTGTTTTAGAAACTATATTTGCTTTAATGCAGAAAAAATACATTTAGGAAACACATTTTAAGATAAACATTAAAACAAAGAGAGAAAATAAGCCAGCTATGGAAGCGTCGCTATCCATGGTGCTGAAAGTCATATTTGCATCACCCAGTCGATTTCTTTTTAGGTAATCCTCTTTCTTTATTATCTCAGCAACAATAATCATCTGCTCAGTCTTACTTCTACCTTACCATTTAAGTAGAAAATAATATGGTTTTTGTACATACAGTCTTTCTAACAAAATCCCATTTGATCACATTTACTGATTCATCAGGTTTTGTACCTTTCAGTTCATCACAAACCAACTTTAGGAACAGGATATTTCATCAAACAATCAGCCAGACAAGACGACTCAGCTTTAAAAAATAAATCTGCATCTTTTATTTGATCAGTGGTGTACAGCACTATATGCACTAAAGGCAGCTCTATGCACACGTAACATGTCTTTGCGTTACATATTGAATAGTAAGTAGAAAGTGATTAAATGCATCTGTGTCCTTTCTAAATGCTTTCCTTTTGTCTCATTTAATTCATTAAAAGGTCACATACAGAAAACACTCAACATGTCATCATTGCAACATTAAAAACAAACAAGACATTTGCTTCATGATTATATTTCGTATTATTAAGAATTCATGTGACAGTAATGTGTTTGTTTTTGATTCGGGATCACCAGTCATTAAAATTTCTGTTTGATGGTTTTGCTAAAAGCCAGTTGTTTTCATCCTTGTTAACAGATGATGGAATGATTATAGAACAAAAAAACAGTTTTTATGAATCAAATTGTTTTATGGAAAACCTAACAACTTAAATGATACAGTTTTGTTGAGATTTAACAGATTGAACAGATTTAATGGTCATTATGAATACTTACCCAGTGAGAATCATTTAAGTCATAGTTTTTCTTAATAAAATGAATAAATAAATAAAAATAAATAACCTTACTGTTTTTCCCCTAATTCCAGTAAACATTTCTTGCACAAGCAGTCTAATTAAAGTTAAACTTTTTCTTTATTTTTTTCTTTAGAGTTTTTCTTAATCACCAAGATTTTACATTCAGACAATTAAATAAACAATTTAATAAATAACTTCATAAAAAATGAATTAAATAAAATTATTGTATAAAGTTGAGCTACGTAAATGTTTTATTTTTTCCCATTATCATCTTACGAGTCAAAATTTCCATATTTAATTTTTTTGGAACTCATGTTATGATTGTTGTTGTTGACCAAATATTCATTTAGTTTTTTTTTATTAAATTTTTTTCCTGAATTTACATTTTATGTTAAACGTACATTTGAAGGAAACAGAAGCAAGAATCAGTTCAGGCTAATGAAGATTGATTTTTTTTAAAGGTAGAAGTTTAAGTTAAAGTGCTTTGTGTTGAGCTGAGAATTACATAAACATAATTTTTTTACTGTGCAGTGCTACAACTTACGCAAAGAATTTGAAAGAACTTTAAATTGAATTCATCTTTAATAGTCATTTTCTTTGTTTAATATAGATGGGACAAAGTTTTTTGTAATTTGGACAATGGTTTAAGAAATGACATAAAGAAACATCAGCATTCTGTGAACAAAAATATAAATAAATAAAGGATATTTTCTCATTTTTTCTGTTGCCATTTACCAACCGGCCAACCAAAGCTGCACACAGATTCTCATGCTGCTCAGTGCAGCGATACGAGTCTTTAGTGATTGTGTTAATGTATATACAGTGGGAACATGAACTGCGTAGATGGACACATAAATAACCACACTGGAAAACACATCATCGTTGGTTGATCTGATTTTGAATGTCCTTTGGATTATTACTATGTGTGAGCGTGTATTTTATTTATTTATTTTTTAATTTCTTTATTTAGTAAGGATATTTATAGGATGAGTTGAGGTATTCATTCGAGTATGGACCCCTCCTCAGAGTGGCTGCAAATGAGAAAAGAGGAAACGGTTACAAGCTTAGACAAAAATTGAAAATCAAAGCCTCTGCAGTCAAAATGTCTGGTTTATTCACCAATGAACTGCAAACGTGATGTTTTTCAACTTGTGCTGAGGTTTTAAAAATAATAAAATGATCAATGCTCTCCTATACTGATGGGATTCTTTGAGCTCTTTTAACCATCTGACAGGTAAACCTTTGCTCAAATAAGGATTAGGGACAATTTTATGTTGTGAAATGTTCATCTAGCTGAAGATTTATTACAAATAAACCAAGCTTGAATGTAACTTTTGGCTTTTGCTACATTTTTAAAGTCATGTTTGATACAACCAGCTTGTGAAAGGACCTACCAGCTGAAAGCTGTTTAGAAGGTGATCTACGTTGATGTCATTGTAGCTCTCCTGGAAGGTGTTGGGTTCATCTCTCGACTCCTCTGGCTCACTGGTTCCAGGATCTTCTAGGCTGTTTAAGACAAAGCCAAATGATTTACCTATACCTAAACTCGCAAGGCAAACAAAAGCTCTTAGGGAAATTAAGAGACTTGAATTTTAACAAAAGAAAGAACGATTAGTAATTCCCACCTTCTCTTTCCTGTTAAGACAGAATTCAGGTACTTCTTGACTGCCATCTGTTTTCGGAAGCGGCTGTAGTTGTCTGTGAAGATGGCATCTGAGTGGCGCTTCACCGGCTCCTCCATCACATCATCACTGGATAAAAGACAGGAACTCAGAGTGGCACAATTCAGAAAGCAAGTGGTTTCCCACAAAACGTGACGGCATTTTCTGAGTGAGTGAGTGAGTGAGTGAGTGAGTGCTTACTTACTTAAGGTACTGAAAATCAGTGATATTTAGAGGTGCACCAACTGCAGTTTTCTGGCCAATCACAGATCTTTTAAAAGTCTGACCTGTTCATTCTAATTTTGGCCGAGATCTACAGGTCCTTCTCAAAAAAAATAGCATATTGTGATAAAGTTCATTATTTTCTGTAATGTACTGATAAACATTAAAC